CTTCTTCTTCTTCTTCTTCTTCTTCTTCTTCTTCTTCTTCTTCTTCTCTTCTTCCTCCTCCTCCTCCTCCTCTTCCGTCTCCTCCTCCTCCTCCTCCTCCTCCTCCTCCTCCTCCTCCTCCTTCTCCTCCTTCTCCTCCTCCTCCGTCTTCTTCTTCTCCTTCATCTTTTGAGACAAGGTTTCTCTGTAGCTTTGGTGTCTGTCCTGGAACTAGCTCTTGTAGACCAGGCTGGCCTCCAACTCCCAGAGATCCGCCTGCCTCTGCCTCCCGAGTGCTGAGATTAAAGACATACACCACCACCGCCCAGCAGTAAAGAACTTCTTTTGGGTGATCTGCTCATATTTATCTTATTATGACTGATTCCTACATTTTCCCTTCCATAAGTACTGATGATAGGACCCAATCTTGGGTCCTGCTTGCCCAGTGTTTTAAGGAGATATTATTGGGACCTAAGAACTACTTAAGTTAATAAATCCATTAATTGACAACTTTGGACCTAGTATATTAACAGGCACTATAGGTAGTCATTTTGTTCCCCATGCCAAGGAGTTCCTTGTCTTAGCCTTTCAACCTATTTTGGGCAGGGAGACGATGTGTTCTTTTCCACAACTACTTCCAGCTGACATTGGGGTGTTGTTATCCAGGCCCAAGCAGGTTGAAAGGCTAGCCAAAGGTAGGGAGGCAATTTAGGCAATGGGGCACTCATCAGACTTCGTTGAAGGAAGAGGGAGCATTCATGTCAACTGAACTGGTCCACATCAGCTTTCAGGAAGTTCAGGGCTCACCGCCAATCAGAGCAGGCTATAGTCTGCCACTCATGCTTAGATGCGTCTGCCAGTCAAGTGGAAGCCTACTGAGATAAATTTAAACTAAAAACAGAAGTTAAAATTTATGTACTTAAAGAAAAATCCATATTGTAGAAAAAGAGCAGATAACGGGCATCTGTACACAGAAAGAATAGACTCATACCTTTGAGTCCCAGCAAAAACTACAGAGTTTGGTTAGAAGTATGTATATTTTCCTGCTGTCCAGAGAATCATGTATGGTTTGGACAGAGATGGCTTTGACCCAATGAGAAACACCTTTTAGTTTATATTTAAATGGCAACTCGAATAAATCTAAACTCTTGAGCTTGTGACCCAAACAGTGAGTAGTCATTGCTCTATTGGCTTATTAGAACTATACCATAGCGGGGGAAGAAATCAGAAACAATTTCCATATTTTAACCTGTATTTGCATCTTAAGTCACTTCTTTTAGACTCTCAAAGCTTATGAACTTTTATATCCTCAGGCCTTAAAACATTTTTTTAATGAGCTAACAAGCTGGCTGTAGCCTTGTGGAAAGATCTGGATACCTTTTGCTGCTAAACTGACTTTATAACTGCCCTAGACATCAATACTATCAGAGATCCTAGAAGGATAAATAAAGTATATTTGAGTACAGACTAAATAATTTCCAAATCTATTAAATGACAGGGACCAGAGTCCATGTACAGTTAGTCATACCCAGGTCTCCATTGCACTGGAGGCAGAAATATCCAGAACAGCTGTCTTACAGTCTCAGTCAGGTTCATAAGGTGGATTTTTTTTTTCCTATGGAAAGGGGACATGGAAAAGACCAAGTTTCTTTTGTCTAGACAAAAGTGATGCAATCAGTTCTCCAAGTCCTGCTGTTTGTCCACAGTCTGGACCAGGTCCTGGCAGCAGGTGTTGCACTGGTGTACCTCACCCAGTGGTCAGCATCTTCGTAATCCAAGTGGAGACATCATGGTGTCCCATGAACTTCTCTGGAGACCTTGGGTTACTGCTAGGATCTTGGAGTCTCTGTCTAACATAAGCTTTTTAATCATTATTTTAAATGGCAAGATTTCTGAAGTATGAAGGCTGCCTAGGTATGTCTGATTAGACAAACTTTGTTTCCCATTACTTGTTTTAAGTTTGACTTTTAAAACATATACAGGGACCTAAATAAGGCTTATTCCTGTAATTAATTATATCAGTACTTTAAGGGTGACTGACTAACTTGTATTTCCTAATAGTCTATAGTAAGTTAGCAGCTTTCACAAGACTAGAACTCCATACTCTGTAATGATCTTGAATAAAGCTAATAAAGAAACTGAATTAGTCATTCCGAGGGTAAACACAGAACAAGTTTGTACCCAGCTGTTAATGCTGTCTCTTGGAAGGCAAGGAAAAAGTCCCAGTGTGCACTGGAAACAGGAGGGAGTCTAAGAGCTAGCATTGCCCAAGGGCAAACTGAGACTCAGGTCTACCTTCCTGCTGATCTATAGAACCCATCTCGGCATGTGCGTACCAAGTTGCCCTGGAAAAGCCGCCCTGGGCTGTACATCTTTCCCCCTTCACAAGTACTGATGACAGGACTCAATCATGGGTCCTGTCTGTCCAGGGGCTCAAGGGGATGATACTGGGACCTCAATGCCATCAGTCGAACAGTATTGACCCATTCTCAAACAAAGGCCGTCAAGTCTGTTGGTAAGAGGAAGCAAGATCCTCAGGGCCCTGTTAGAGCTGGAAGCAAGGTTGTTAACCAAGGAGACCAGCTGGGTAAGTTTTCATCCGGCTTCCGCGTGAGCGTTCTGTTTCCTAACAAGTCCACTGAATCTCTAATTACCCCGGAGTAATTGACATAGAAAGAACATTCTTTCCCCAGAAGAGGAGGTCCAAACCTCTTAGTATCAATACAAGAATTTATGACTCAGTTTATCCAAATAGCTTAAACCCAACAAAGTTAGCAAAGACAAGGAGGCTAAACATAAATTTTAAAGCCTGAATAGACCTCAAACAAGGAAATACATTTTTAAACCATTAGTTAATATTTTTAAGGCTTTTACATTTTAATATAGTTTTTCATGTTATAGTGATCCTACCATTACAGAATTTTCCTGTTGTTATTTTACAACTGCAGTTTTGCCTACGTTGTGAATCTCAGTTTAAACATCTGACATACAGGTGGTCCCAGACTACCCCTTTACAACCTCCAAAAGACCGAGATTCATAGGCTTGGGTGCTGTTCCAAGCTCTCTGTCAACCTGCTTAGGTTTTCTGCATCACAAGAAATGAACACTTTTGTTTCTAGTTAGATTTTGGTGCTTATGGTTCTGACCCTAATTTTTAGCTTGTTATTTTAAGTTTAAATATTAACAATATGAAACATAACATAAAACATTTTATAAGCACAGATGTCTCTCAGCCTTATAAATTTGTTTAAAATTTGTTATAAAATTAAAATCTCTTAAATGTCTTTCTGCAATTTAAGAATATCAAAAATCCCCCAACAAAAGAAAAGTAATATTTTAAAATGATATTAATGCAAGTTTTGAAATAAGAGACAAAATTGCCTTATCTGGCCTTGGCAATGAAATAATAAAGTCACTGTTTTGAGTTTTAACTTATGTAAATGTCAACAATTTTGCCAAAAATTTCATATTTGTATTCAATAGACCAATTAGATTTGTCATTGTATTTTCACTTGTTTTTCAGTAAGGAATTGAATTTTATTAATTTCAGGATTGGAAAATGTCTTTTACGTGAAGTAAAGTCATGGCAGGATTAGTTTGTCAGAGATTCATAGAAACAAATTCTCAATAAATCTCCCAAATTGTACCACCTTTTACACCTTTGTCTCCTTGGGGATAAATCTTAATACTTTTCCAGAAAGCTAATCACATGTCACTATTACACTTGGCAAAACTTCCAAAGGTCGTCTCGTGCAAAGATAAAGTGCTGGACTGTGGACACTTGTCTGCTGGATCTTGTGCTAGAATAAGGTCTGGGTGAAAACTGCCAAGGTTGCCAAATTGCCATTTGATTTATTTATTTTGGTGTGTGTGTGTGTGTGTGTGTGTGTGTGTGTGTGTGTGTGTGCCCATGAAGGCCAGAAGAGAGTGTCAGATTCCCTGGAGTTGTGGGCCTTTGTGAGTCACCAAGTCAGGTCCTCTGCAAAGGCACCATGTGCCCTCTGAGCCATTTCTTCAAGCCCTCACCATTAGATTCCTCTCAATGAGAGAGCAGCACTTCCTGTCATTCCTCTTGGTGCTCTTCTTTAGAATTTGGTTCTATTTTTCATTCTATTTCTACTTATGACTGTGAAGAGGAGTTGGACACACTTGGTTTATCAGAGAGAAGACAGGAGAAAAGTCAAAATGAGAAAAAAAATACACTGCAGATAAAAGATAATAGTCTTACATGTAATATGTGAAATGTTGTTCCACGTATACAAAAATACGTGTATGTGTTTATATATGTCCATGGTGTTGTAGAAAAGGCCAGCAGACTGACTTCTAGAACACCCTATAATGATAGAAATGTTCTCTTCCTGTGCCATGAAAAGCAGCAGCCAGGAGGCACTTGTGTTTTCTGAACTCTTGAAATATGATTCGAGTAACCAAAATAGTGAATCTTTAATTTGTTTAATTTGAATTTTGAAACTAAGTAGTGTGTACAGCTGCAGACTATAGTCTTCAAAAAGCAATAGATAAAATTTATTTGTATTTTCTTTCTTCTACTTTTCTGTAGTGTTTGAATATGTCTACAGTTAATTGTGTACTCAGGAAAGGAACTGAGAAAAAGCAATCTTTATAATGTTTAAGAGCTTACACTTAGGGAGCTGGAGAGATGGCTCAGTGGTTAAGGGTACTGGCTGCTTTTCCAGAGGATCTGGGTTTGATTCCCAGCAGCCACATAGTGGCAAGCAATCATTTTAAATTCATTCCAGAGGATCTGGCTCCCTCTGCTGGCCTCCAGAGGCACTGCACACATATGGTGCACAGACAAACATAAACCAAACAACAAATGCACATAAAATAAAAATAATCTAAGCATTTTAGAAAACATTAGACCTATCCGGACAGCCTTGTTCAAATCCTGTCCTTGCTATTTTCTTACTTGTTTTGGAGCACATTTCTCCAGCTCAGATTTCTTTCCTCACTGGACTGTGATTCTCTGACCTGTGGAGTGCATGTGTGAAACCTGTCTTGTATGTGGGGTTATTGCGAGGAATAAATGAATTCATGAATGTAAACTATGTAGTATAATTTCTAGCATGGAATTCCTATCATGTTCAGTAAGAGTAGAAAACAAGTTTTATTAGTTGTACTTGCCTAGGGTTTGACTCAGGAGTAAGAGAAGATTCTGGCTATGGAATTAGATACTGATGAGCTTACAAAAATGGTATCAGCCTTGAAGGAGACTTTGACTAACAACTTATTACTAATTCCGGTGAGGAAACCACTGATGCTATGTGTCTTATATGAGAGCAATTATTTCTCTTTTGGGATAAAGCCTGCCTGGGTCTATCAAAGTAGGAGAGCCTGGATCATTTTGGTGACCTAGCTTCAAGGGAGCCTGGAAAAGAAACTCATTTCTACCCAGCACTTTCAACTTCTGCAGGAAAGGTGGTCAAAAGTTGAGAGTTCTCACCAAATATAAAAGACTTCATGTGTTGGACAGCAAAAAAAATAATAATAAGGATGAACATATATGTATGTATACTTCCCTATACATACTTTTAAAGATTTACAAATCTTTAAGTATGTGTATATGATTGGGCCTGTGTGTAGGTATGTATGTGCAGTAAGATACTTATGTCCTTGGAGACCAGAGGCATTAAATCTCCCTGAAGCTGGAGTTACAGAGAGCTGTGAGCCACCCAATGTGGGTGCTGGGGATTGAACTTGGGTCCTCTTCAAGAACAATCTCAGTCTTAACTATTGATCCACATTTCCAGCCCATATCTATACATGTTTATGCATATATATATATATATATGTGTGTGTGTGTGTGTGTGTGTGTGTGTGTGTATGTATGTGTGTGTGTGTGCACATAACACATGTGTGTGAGTGTGCTAACAATGCTATTCAAACCAGGGGATGGCAGAGGAGAGCAGAAATTAACATAACAATATTAAGTAGACCTGCATTCTCACTGGATACCGTTTAAGGGTTATTATGGAATAATCTTTTTGTACACTGAAAAGATGTGTCACTCTGATTGGTTTAATAAAAAGCTGAATGACCAATAGCTGGGCAGGATTTCCAGGCACAGAAGAGGCTGGAAAGAAGAAGGGGAGGTGCCAGGAGACACAAAGCAGGCAGGATGAACACTTTGGAGATGAGGTAATAAAGCCACAAGGCAGAAAATAAATTAATAGAAATTTATTTTAAGTTATAAAAGCTAATTAGAAATAAGCTTACGCCAAGTTTTCAAAATTAATAAGGAGTCTCAGTGTCATTATTCAAGAGCAGGCAGGGCAGAGAAAGACTTGCTACAAAGGCTCACCTGAGCTCTCCAGACTCTGGTTTTTCGAAGCAGAGTGTTGAACTGTGCTGCTGAGATCTATGAAATGCAACATTATCTGAGCATCTCTGTGACTGGCAGGATTTGAAATGAAGGATCAGGAAGTAAAATCTCCCCAAATTTTTCACAGCATGGTGATCCTAAAAATGAAATTTGGGATTGTGGGATGTACTTTAGTAGTGGTATGCTCGCCTAATGTGCCTTGTTTCCCCAATATGTACGGTAGCACTATTGGAGAGAGAGAGAGAGAGAGAGAGAGAGAGAGAGAGAGAGAGAGAGAG